TAATCGGCAATTTCTGATTGGCTGGGCAGACCCATGAATGGATTAGCATGAGAAAATCCAGTCAGCCAATGTCATAACATCAAACACTTACACTTCCTAAAGCTGGCTCTTTTGTTACCACTCAATTCTCCATCTGCTGGTTCTATGAAGGGATGTGTCATTTGTGGGTCACAGGCCTCCATTGGCCCTCTGCTATCCAACTTGCCAATCTAGTTGAGACGGACTGAGGCCAGCTTGGTGGTGAAGCCTGTAAAACAAGAACCAGTAATTTTGTGACCTGGTTTTCACAACTGAGATTTACTGTTAAGAGAATGGCCCAAGGTAGTTTTCTCTTGATGGCCACAATGGCCAGGACCAGGCCAGACCTAACCCAGGAGCTTTATCCAGGTCTCTCACATAGTGACGGAGCTCAGCCACACCAGCCATCTTCTGCTGATTTCTCCCAGTAAAATAACAGGGAGCTGTATGGGAATTAGGGCAGCCAAGACTAGGCCCGGCACCCATATAGGACGCTGGTATTGCAGAAGGCAGCTTTTACCCACTATAACACAATGCCAGCCCCAAGTCCCTGCATTTTTGGACTGACCATATGCAGCGGGAATTCAGAGAATTGCATGTGACACAGCCTGGGACATATGCACGTGGGGAATCCAGCCAAAGCAATGGAAGAAACTAGTGCACAACAGGAGCTCAAACATACCAGGACCCTCATTGACACAACAATGAGAATCAGAAGTCCATCTGATCATGTCAGTCTGATTACAAGGTCCTTCAATCAGAAATTGCCTCACCAGGTGTTTCCGCACACCATCTTTCTCCCACTTAATCCACAAGGCTTTTTTAGGCCCCCAGTCAAGGAGGTGGATTTTGTTGCAGGATTTTTGACTCCGAGTATGGCAGCAACCTCAAATTCTTGTCTCGCAGGAAAGAAGAATTTTCATGCGGACACAGTTTAGTTTTAACGCAAGATTTATTAGAAAAGCTGAGAAGAGAAACTCCTGTCCTAGCAACGGGAGGAGGTTTTGAGATAGAAAGGACCTCCTTAGTGGCAGGAGGAGGAGGAAAAGTAAAAAAGAACCCTAGTGCTCTGCCATAGTGGCAGGAGGACAAGAAGCAAAACTCGTATCAATGGTGGGGAATGCACCTTTTAAAGGTTTCCCTCAAAGATGTTTCTCCATAAACAAAGAAAATTTCTGATTTCCATGGTACCTGGCAGGCCTTAGGCAGATGTGTATTACCTCTTCCTGCTCTCCTTTCAATGATAAAGAGATCAGCCTGAGGCCCTCCCACAATGACCGGAGGTGATGGCCGATACTTCAGGTGGGGGATTGATATGCTAATAGCACCCCCCCCCCCCCCCCCCGGAAGAGACATGCCCTGGTGAATCCAAGACATGGTGGGGGAATTCTCTTTTACTCGGGGACCCAGAATACCCTAACTGCCTACTACCCACTCTAACTCCTCTCTCAATTTGACTCCTCTTCTCCTGCCTCCTCCTGGGACAAAAGATTTTTTCTTCTCCAAAGAGACCATGCAGATTGTGCAACAGAGAGAAGACCTACCTCGTTTATTCAGTAATAAAACAGAGAATCCTAGCAAAGGGTTTTTGAGTTTCAGGGTATCCAGAAGAGACCCAATTAAGGGGCCAACTTTGGTGGGAGAAGCCTAGAATCTGTCCTTCCACCTCAGTCACCATTATGCTTTGCTATGCTGAGATAAAACTGTTCCCTAAAAAAGCCTGCAAAGCATTTGAGAAATACCTGCTAAGACTTGTCTGAGGAGAGTCACACACAGTTATGCATCCTGTCCATCAGACTAACGTGACTTGATGAATGCGCATGAAAGGTCTGTTTTACCTTAGCATTTGTAGTACCTGCCCATAATATTTTGTTCTTTATGCATTCCTTTTTTGTATCTATTCCAAGAAATGCCCTTCTTAAAACGAACTTGTAGTCTTCTTTTCAGAGTATCCGCCTCTGAGAATGTAAGCAATCAATCTTGCTCTAAAAGCAGTCATTCCCAGCCTGTAAGAAATTTGACCCCATTTACCTAAAGCCTGTTGTTTATATGCTGAGCCAGCATATGTTCAAGCTATCCTGCTAAGGGAAAACTTGCAGTTGTGGAACACATAGAACTGACCATTGTAGAACATTCCTGGGACTCCTTAAAAGTTATAGGGCTTATGTCTTCCAGGTCCATGTTGTCCATTTTATGCCCTTAATGTGGGGTGAATAGGCAGGTAGCTGGTTTCTACTCCGCAGGAAGAAGTTGCTGAAAGCCTTCACATATAATACCATCTTCCTACTTACTTGTCAATCAAAATGCCGCTTTCCTAGGATGCAACTGCTTCAGCCAGGCCCCAACAGGAGGAAACACCATGAAAATATGGAGGTTATGTTTCACAAGGAGCTTGCGGGAATACCCTAAAAGGGCTTCACACCTGTAGATGCACCATGCCCTAATTTATAAAAGAGGCCCACTCAGGGAAGTTCCACCTGCCTCTCACCTGGGGATGATACATGCAGGTACTCTTCCTCCCTCTCTCAATTTCCTCCTTCCGGGCACTCCTATAGCTTACTTGTAATGGGTGTCACTCTGTATGGGGCAACCCACACTCATGTGAGCCTGTGTGTTCACTTTCTCACCTTTTAAACAAACTATGCTATCACAACACACCTTACACATCTCTGTACCTGGAATGTCAGTCTTTGTGTGAGGCAAAGAACTGGGGAAAACACATTAGACCTGTGTCCACATCACCCTGAGTAAGCCTTCTATTAACTTTTCTTCTTATTATTAACTTTTCTATAAGGACTGATTATTTGTGTCAATATCCACTCTTCTAGGTCTGGGACTCAGGTAAGATCGGGATTTTTAAAATTAACTTCCTGATGAGAAAGGAAGAAGAAACCCAACTTGGAGGAACTCATGCATTGTGGACAAGGCTGAATTTTGGAACTCAGATGGAATCCAAGAAAAGACAAAGAGGAGGGGCTGGGGTCATGGTGTAGTAGAATAAACCTCTACCTGTGGCACCAATTTGCATCCCAGCTCCTCCACTTCTCACCCAATTCCCTGCTGTTGGCCTGGCAAAGAAACAGAAGGAGGCCCAAGTCCTTGGACCCTTGCAACAATGTGGGAGACCCAGAAGAAGCTCCTGGCTTCAGACTGGCTCAGCTCCCACCATGGTGGCCATTTGGGGAGTGAACGAGCAGATGGAAGATCAATAATCTCTCTTTGTCATAACTCTGCCTTTCAACTAAAAACAAAAAACAAAACAAAAAGACCAAGAAGAAACTCATAAAGAGTTAAGGCCCAATGAAAACATGTGGTCTAATCACCAATAACCCCTACCTACAGACTCCTATACAGATAAGGTGAGTCAAACTAAAAATTAATCTTCTATTATTTTTTTAAAGACTTATTTATTTTGGGCCTGGCGCAGTGGCGCAAGTGGTTAAGGTCCTCGCCTTGCACACCCGGGATCCCATATGGGCACCGGTTCTATCCCGGCAGCCCCACTTCCCTTCCAGCTCCCTGCCTGTGGCCTGGGAGAGCAGTCGAGGATGGCCCAAGGCGTTGGGACCCTGCACCCACATGGGAGACCCGGAAGAGTCTCCTGGATTCAGATCGGCATAGCACCGGCCGTTGCGCTCACTTGGGGAGTGAATCATCGGATGGAAGATCTTCCTCTCTGTCTCTCCTCTCTGTATATCCGCCTTTCCAATACAAAAATAATAAAAATAAATCTTTAAAAAAAAGATTTATTTATTTTTATTGCAAAGTCAGATATACAGACAAAAAGGAAGATCTTCCGTCCGATGATTCACTCCCCAAGTGATCGCAATGGCCAGTGCTGTGCCGATCTGAAGCCAGGAGCCAGGAACTTCTCCCAGGTCTCCCATGCAGGTGCAGGGTCCCAAGGCTTTGGGCCATCTTTGACTGCTTTCCCAGGCCACAAACAGGGAGTTGGATGGGAAGTGGGGATGCCGGGATTAGAACCTGCAGCCATATGGGATGCAGGCACATTCAAGGGGAGGACTTTAGCCACTAGGTCACCTGCCGGGCCCAAAAAGTAATCTTCTCAACTTCTTTTCCTGCAGTAGTGTCTTAAAAAAAAAAAAGATTTATTTATTTTTTTATTTTAGAGGCAGAGTTACAGAGAGGAGAGACTGAGAAAGATCTTCCATCTGCTGGTTCACTCCTCAAATGGCTGCAACAGCTGGAGCTGAGCTGATCCAAAGTCAGGAGCCAGTAATTTCTTGTGAGTCTCCCATGCCCTACCACAGCGGAGATCCAAGGACACAGGAGAGGACCCTCCATGTTGAGGGTTATAGCCACTGGGACAGGCCAAGCTTCAAGACGAGCTCCAATGTGTCACAGCCTGAGCTGTGGACAGGGGAAGAGCAGCAGACAGTCCTTGAAGTTACGAGGCTTAACCCTACCTTCAGTCCTGGAGTTATTGGAAGCATCAGTTCCTACTTCCAATGCCTTCACTGTCGCCTTGATCTCTTCCCCTTGGCTTGCAGTCCCTCTGCCTCTGCTTTGATCACCACAGGTCAACTCTGATGGAGAAAGGGCAGAAACCTTAGACCCATTTGACCTCTCACCTGCATGACAGCAAACAGGCCTTCTACCTCGCAGCCCTGCTAGCACAGTCTCTCTATGCCTCTATGCACACACCACACTCTGAAGAACCCAGCCTCAGTCTAACACTCCTCACTCCTCCCAGCTGCCCAGCCCAGACTCTCCCTCTATCAGGACAGTCCAGCTTTAGGACAGCCTCCTCCCTCCCCTTGCCAAGCCTGTTTAAAAATAAACATGGTTGGTGCAATTGCTCAGTGGCAAAATCTTCACCTTGTAAGTGCCTGGATCCCATATGGATGCCAGTTCATGTCCAAGCTGCTCCACTTCCCATTCAGCTCCCTGTTTGTGGCCCAGGAAAGCAGCCGAGGATGGCCCTGCACCCACGTGGGAGACCTGAAGAAGCTCCTGGTTCCTGGCTTTGGATCCGTTCAACTCCAGCCATTGCCGTCATTTGGTGAGTGAACCAGTGGGTGGAGGATCTTTCTCTCTGTCTCGCCTTTTCTTTGTAAATCTAACCTGCCTTTCCAATAAAAATAATAAATCTTTAAAAATAAATAAATAAGCCTGGTGAGACTCTGGTTTCATTCTCTGTCCCATTTTTTTCCTTACAAACTCCTTATTGAAGACTAACTCATCAAATTAAGGGACTGACACATGACACAAGACCAAGGTGTACAAAATCAAGATTCTAGCGGTCACTTCTGCAATTAGCACCCTAATGCTAGACTCTGTTTTGAAACACTTCACAGGAACCCCAGACTTCGCACAAATCAAGCACTAGCCATCTACGCCTAGACCCCGGACAGACTGGAGCCCACCTACCCAACACGTTGAAAAAAAGGATGACTATGCTATTGCTGACCATTCAAGGACCCAACACCACAGTGGACCAGACACCTGCCAAGGAGCTGATCATGCATTGCTCAACTGTCACTTTGTAAGATTCACTATCCTTAATCCCTTAGCTTCCAGGAATTGAGCCTGGCTTTGCGCTTGGCAAGATAAATACTTACTTTGTTGTGCAACCCTGCTGTTAAGAGATTGGCTTGCTGTAAGGCAAGCAAATGAACCCAGGTTTTGTTTGGGGTTCCAGAGCAGGCTGGTGTTCTGCTGGCCGACAGTGATGGAGTTGGTGCACGGAGCTAATAACCTACAGGTGGAGTATTGATGGATGGTCAATAGCCGGAGTTTATTAACAGCATTAGACTTCTTTAAAGGCTGAGGGTCTAGGCGGCCCAGGGAGGAGAGTTTGAGGCATTTACACAGCAACAGCAAGAGGCAGTTTGCTAGTAAATACTTCCTTCCTCAGCAGGTGCCTTCCTCAGGTCTGTTAGTTCCTGTTCCCCTGCTGTGAGAGAAAGTCCTTCTCTTTGATCTGTTCTCTACACCTGAAGACTGGCTTGTTCATTTCCATATCAACTGCTCCAGAGCTTTCTCTGCAGGACTGCAATCAGCCCTGGCTCCACGCTGGCAAGTTTTCCAGATCTTTCCTATAGATCTAATCAGTTGTCCACCTGGTTCTGAGGAGGCGCTTTCTCCTGGATAAGAAGTTGGCTCCGAATTTGCGTGGCAGAACATCTTTCCCTTAGCACCGTGTCAGTGCAGCAAATCACTTCAATGCTATCTAACAATCAAACTTTGTATCCACAATTTTTCATGAACTCTATGTGACGCAGGATTTATTTCCAAGCAATAAATCCTTCCCCTCTTTTCCTTTTACTGAATGACTGGTCTGCAACTTATGTGTTATCTACATTGCAGCGTGATGCAGTTATTTCAAAAATTGCATTTATACAGAAAATATTCAACCTCTCCACCGCCCCCCCCCCAAAGGCTAACACTTGAGAAAAACATAGGACTCTGTCAGTATCACAAGACTGGTAACAAAAGGCATCTTAATAAATATATGGCTTTGAATTTCTTAGGTCAAAAGTACAGTTTTTTAAATGGCGCAGAAAGGTAAAGCCTTTTGTTCTTATCTACAGGGATTATCACAGACTGAATCTAAGACGTTTCAGAGGGTAGAAATTAGAATTTCCCGACAGTGTGTCCACTCTACATTCACCCCTGGAGCCGACTCCGAGGCACCGCAGCTCCACGCCCGGTCACAAGAGCCTTCCCACTTTCTACTTGGTCCATCGCGCCCCATAATCGCACCCCGGAACTCCAGCTGGGATGCTGAGGGGTTCCTCCTGCTCACGTGACCGGCCCCGCTGCGCCTGCGCACAGGACGGCCGGGCCGGGCTGGCGGGCGGGCCCTCGTCGCCCCGCCCACTCCCGGTGCGCGTGCGCCGCGGCTCCGCCCCCGCGCGGCGGCCGGCCTCAGTATCCGCGGGAGCGGCGGCGGAGAACGGCGGTGTCTCCGGGCGTCTTCCAGCCCGCGCCGGCTCGCCCCGGCGGCCCCCCGCCTCCCGGCCCGCGACCCTTCCTCCGCAGCTCGGCGCGGCGGCCATGGCGAGGCCTCGGCGGCGGGAGGCCGGCGTCGGGGCCCGCGGCGCGCTGGCGCTGCTGGTCCTGGCCGTGTGCTCGCCGGGCACCAGGAGCCGGGAGCTCGAGTGGTACTCGGCGGTGGTGCGCACCGAGTACGTGGACCCGCACACGAACCTGACGGTGCGGAGCGTGTCGGAGAGCGGCCGCTTCGGCGACAGCTCGCCCAAGGAGGGCGCGCAGGGCCTGGTGGGCGTCCCGCGCACGCCGGCCGGGGACCTGGAGGGGTGCGCGCCGGACACGCGCTTCGGGCCGGCCGCCGGGGACCGCGGCACCGCGCCCTGGGTGGCCCTGGTGGCGCGCGGGGGCTGCACCTTCAAGGACAAGGTGCTGGTGGCGGCGCGGAGGAACGCCTCAGCCGTGGTGGTGTACAACAAGGAGCTCTACGGGAACCTGACGGCGCCCATGTCCCACGCGGGTGAGCCGGGGCGCGGGCGGCCTGCTCGGCCTCGGGGGACGTGATGACCCGTGCGCGACTCTGAAGGGGTGCTGGGGGTTGGAGAGGCGGTGACTCCCTGGGGTGCCCTTCTGCCTCTCACGTGAAGTGAGAGTTTGGTGGCATCAGGTGCGTCTGAATGTTCTAGATGTTTGAGTCAGAAAACCTGGGTGTTAGCTCTTGCGTCACTTGCTCCCTGGCTCTCCTGCTCGTCTGATTCCTCGAGTCTCCAGCTGTGCATGGTAATGTGGGTGATGCTCGTTCCAGAAGTACTGAGTTGTTGGGTAGCTGGCCCTCCCCGGGCGGGGGTTGACGTCTTCAGGCACGATAGCTTCCAAGTCTCACTGTATGAAGTAGCGTCCTGGTCGCTGAGCCCAGCGTGAGAAAGATGGGTGACGCAGGGCCTCTGGGTGAACTGAATTGTCACATCTTCTGAGCTCACATTCACCTTGGGAAAAGCTCTGTGTTGACTCATCGTGAGCTTCCTCTGTGTGTGTGTGTGTGTGTGTGTGTGTGTGTGTGTGTGTGTGACACATCCTTTTCCTGTCGTGCACTTCTGCTTTGTGTTGTTCCAGTTTGTTGGGTGCCAGTTCAGAACCCTCACGGTGGGATGAGGGCAGAGAAGTGAGGCAGGATTTGGCCTCTTTCGTAGGGTCGTGGTGATGGGAGCCAGTTAGGGCTGTTAATCCAGCAAGATTGGCCACAGATCAAGGGAATGTGTGGCAGGAGTGATCTGAATGAAGGAGGCAGAGGTGTCAGGGACAGTGCTGGGGGGGAGGTGAGAATGAGGGCAGGTGTCTGGTTGCTGGCACTGCTTTCGGCACGGCCATTTGGTGTGGGTTCTTCTGTGGGCACAAGTCCAGCTCGTTCTCATGTTGCGTGCTGTCACTTCTCACGGAGCAGTCCCCCGTGCCTTAGCAGTGTTCCCACGCGCACTAGGAGTTCCATCCAGGAGCTATGCCAGGCTCTGCCGAGACTGGCTCCTTCCGTCAAACAGCAGACTCATCACCTCACAGTTTTCAAATCTACTCCCTTATGAGTTGCTGATTTTGCAGAGAGAGGAAGAGAGATGGGGAGAGAAGGTCTTTGTCTTCTGGTTCACTCCCCAGATAGCAGCAGCAGCCAGAGCTGAGCTAATCTGGGAGCCAGGAGCTTCTTCTAGGTCTTTAGGGGCCCAAGGACTTGGGCCATCCTATGCTGCTTTCCCAGGCCACAAGGAGTGTAGCAGCTGGGACATGAGCCAGCACTCACATGGGATGCTGGCACCGCAGTGCAGAGGACTAACTTGCCGTCCCACTGTGCTGGCCCCTACTGCGTTTTTGGATAAGTACATTAACATCTTTCCAGGCAAGAGTGCTTGTTCTACCCCTGGTCCAGCAACCTTGCTCACTTATGTTATCAACATATGATTTTCCAGACTCAGGAAAATGTACTTTTGAGAGAGAGATGTTCTGTCTGCTGATTCATGATCCAAATGCCTGCATCAGCCAGGGCTGGACAAGGATAAAGCCAGGGTCTCTCCAACAGTGCAGATTCTGCTGCCTGCCAGCAGTCAGAAGTCGAGCTGAAACCCCAGCCAGCCCTCACCTGCGGTGTAGGCATTCACTCGCAAGCTGTGTCTTAACCACTGTCAGACGCTCACCCCACGAAAACGTGGTGATGGTGTGAAATTGTTGTTTCCGTTCTCCACATCATTCTAGACTGTTCAGCATGAGAGCAATTCTGATTGAGAGAAAAACTGAGGGAGAAAAAAAGTTTTTAACTAGTGTGTAAAAATGTCCGCTTGTAGACCTTGTTCTGTGTGCAGTGGCTCTTGGTGCTGGCCCTTTAAGGCTGATACTTGAAATCTAATGAGAAGATAGAGACTCGAAAGAGTGCAAATGACTGGTTGCGGAGAACAGGGCAGTCTGATCATGTTCTGATTATGGTAGACGCTGTGTCTGCTCTGTGGGATGTGTAGCTGCGTTCCAGGCCCCCACTCAGTACAACACCAAAGGACGCCTTCACCTGTGAACATCCACAGTGTCAACAGATACTGCCAGATGTTGGGTTTGGGGGCGGTGAAAAATCATCCAAGATTTGGACCACTGACCTGAAAGAGATGAGTTTGGTGGCATTGTGACAGAGTAAATGGAGGAAACCCCGGAGATGGCATCCAGATAGGACTGTGAGGCCAGTAACTGTAGTGGTGACTTGCCTGTGGCTTGTGGTGTATCTGTGGAGGCAGAGAGAGCAAGTTTCCATCTTCTCTTTAAGTCCCCAAATGCCCGGTATGTGAGGGGCTGGGAGGTTGGGAACAGCTGGGATCTCCATCCAGGTGTGTGACAGGAGCCATTACTGTATCCCCGGGGTCCTTGTTCACAAAAAGCTATAGTCAGGAACCAGAGCTGAGAGTTGAACTCAGATACTTCATTGTGGGATGCAAGCATCTTAACTGCTAGGCTCCCATATCATGATTTCTGTGCAGATGGAATGAAGCAGCCTCGAGAGAAGCCCGCTGTGGCGTGCTTGGTTTCAGGTGATTCTGCTGAGCCTGGAAGGTAGCTCAGAGTTAGGTTTCCTGTAAGAAAGCTACTGGAGGACCAGGTGCAAGTACCAGCAGCTCAAGTCCTTGCCTTGCACGCACTGGGATCCCGTAGGGATGCTGGTTCTAATCCCAGCGGCCCTGCTTCCCATCCAGCTCCTTGCTTGTGACCTGGGAAGACAGTTAAGGATGACACAAAGCCATGGGACTCTACACCCATGTGGGAGACCTGGAGGAGGCTCAGGGCTCTTGGCTTTGGATCGGCTCAGCTCTGGCTGTTGCAGCTGCTTGGGGAGTGAATTGATGGAAGATCTTTGGGGAGTGAATTGATAGAAGATCTTCCTCTCTGTCTCTCTTCCTCTCTGTATATCTGACTTTCCAATAAAAAAAAAAATCTTAAAAAAAAAAAAGGAAAAAACGACTGGAGGCAGAAAAACCTGCTGATTGGTGACCTTGGTGTTCCTGTGTGCCTTGCTGTGACCTGCCTGTAAAAACAAATACTGGTGGGCCCGCCCCAAATTGGAGGGAGAATTTCTATAGGTTTTTCTAAAACCCATTATTCTAGACTCTAGTACAAGTTGTTTTGTTTTTTAGTTTAGATCTGTATTGTCGTGGCTCTAGGAAAGTGACCCTAAGTTAATGTCTGAGAACACTTTAAGGAATGTTGTGCTGATAGCTAAGGTTAGCTCTGCTTACTGAGCTACTTTTGTCGGGCGGCCATGTGGACCAGGTGTGCTGTGTGTAACGGTGCTTGCCCCGGAGGCGCCCGTGGTGCAACGGATGGTCTTGATGCATCTGTCCAGACACCATGAGTTGGCCTTCTGGGAGGACAGGGGTGGCTGTGGGGAGAGGTCATGGCAGACACAAGTTGTGTTGATTTGTGGTGGAGTTTCCCAGGTATCGGCACCTGTCTGGGCAATCCTGGAAATGTCTCCCAAGCCAAGGACTGCTCTCGGCTACCCCTATGGCCACATCTGTGGGACTTTACTAATGTAGATAGCTGTCCGCTTCTTTTTGCACGAAGACAGCTCTTTCAGCCACTCCTGTGTCTGCATGGGCAGGCTGTCTCTTGAATCACCAGCTTGAGGTAAGTCAAAGAAGTGCTTTTTGGGTTGGGATATTTTGCCTTCCCCAGAAGCCTCAGAGGTGGGCACGTGCAGCAGGCATGGCAGAGGTGTAGAAGGAGGTGGCAGTGAATCAGTCAAATCCTTCAAGTGAAAGCTCTCCTACAGGACATTGTTGGTTAGTAGATGGCCCTTCAGCTGAAAATCTCACCTGTCAACATTCACGTTCGTTCCTGGTTGCTTACTGGATGCTCGGGACTTGGAAAGTTCAAAGCTGTGTTTGAGGAAAAGGCCAGAGTTGGGTTGGGGAGAGGAAAGATTATAAAGATGTAGGAACAATCTCTGACTTTATTTTGTGAGTGAATAATAAATGCTTAGTGGGCCTGGCGGCATGGCCTATTGGCTAAAGTCCTCGCCTTGAACACTCCGGGATCCCATGTGGGCGCTGGTTCTAATCCCGGCAGCCCCACTTCCCATCCAGCTCCCTGCTGGTGGCCTGGGAAAGCAGTCAAGGATGGCCCAAAGCTTTGAGACCCTGCACCCGCTGGGAGACCCTGAAGAGGTTCCTGGTTCCCAGCTTCGGATTGGGGCAACACCGGCCGTTGGGGTCACTTGGGGAGTGAATCATCGGACGGAAGATCTTCCTCTCTGTTTCTCCTCCTCTCTGTATATCTGACTTTGTAACAAAAATAATAAATAAATCTTTAAAAATAAATAAATAAATTCTTAGTGATCTGTAATATGGCACTATCTCAAATGATTTTAAAATCCTAGATTTAAATTTAAAATATATTTTGGTTCTGTAGGAAGACAAACACTCCTCACAGCCTACCAGAGGGAGGGCCTAATTAGGATGCTCTCTAGAAAGGCTGTTTAGGACAGGTTAACGTTGATGTGGAGGGGACAGCGTTGTGTAGCAAGTAAATCAAGCTGCTGCAGTGCCGGCATTTTGTGTGGGCACCAGTCCAGGTCCTGGGCACTCCAGCTGGGACCCAGCTACTTCTTGATGCTGCCGTGGAGCACAGCAGGAGATCCCCAAGTGCTTAGACTCCACATAGGAGGCCTGGCTGGAGTTCCAGCCCCAAGCTTCCGCTAGCCCACTCCTAACCATCACATCCAGTTAAGGAGTGAAGCAGCAGATGCTAATATACACCCCACCCTCCCTCTATCTCCTTTTAGATTTTATTGGAAAGGCAGAGTTACAGAAAGGAGGAGACACAGAAAAAGAACATCCGATCATTCACTCACCAAGTGGTCACAACGGCTGAAGCTGAGCCAATCTGGAGTCAGGAGCCTCCTCCAGGTCTCCCACGCGGGTGCAGGGTCCCAAGGCTTTGGGCTGTCCTTGGCTGCTTTCCCAGGCCACAGGCAGGGAGCTGAATGGGAAGTGGGGC